TTTTTTTTTTTTTTAGTCATTTATTCATATCCAATTCCTTCCACACAGACACATAGTTTAGACAAATAGCAACTCTTAATTTTCTGGATGAAGGAACTCGGTTAAATTAGAACCTCCTCAATTCTGTTTTCACCATTCCTTTGATTTTGTCAAACAGATATGTAAGGGAACAGGTAACAGTAGTGAACATTAGCCAGATGTGTTTTCTTTTGTCTAAGTTATTTTGATATAGTTTATAAATATTAGAGCAATGTTTTATGATATATATACTATGTTTCACAGTTATTCTTTATTTCTTTTAGACTGCAAATGAACATTGGACTCCATGCATATTAAATGAAGCAGAAAAAATTATATACAAGGTATTAGACTGGATTAAGAATTTGTTATTATTTTTCTAGGAACACACACTTAACATATTTTTTTTTTAAACCTTGATGGAGCCCAATGTGCCACTGAAGAGTGACTGAAGTGTAGGGCCTGGTTTTGGCTCTGCTTACTGTGTGACCTTCTGTGATCACTTACCTTTTCTGAGGTTTAGGTTCTTCCCCTAGCAAAAGGAATCAGAAAAATTAATATTTTCCAAATGTATTTTGTGGAGCATTAGGTAGTTAAGATATTAGATTTATAGAAAAAATATTCTCTGGTCAAGATTACTGATGGAAGTACTAAGCTGTACATAATTAAACAGTATGTTTCATTTTGTTTTAAACCACAGGACTTCACAATACTTTAAATATGCTAATAAACATTGTGAATTTGTAGCTTTCCCCACCTTGCTGTTCTAGATTCTCCTCCCCTCACCCCTCCCTCTAAACAGCCATTCCTGTCCATTGGAGGAATCATGTCTTTCTTATTTAACAAAACATGTACAAGGCCTGTTAAATAGTAAATTATCAATTAATATTTGATAATTGAATGAACGAATTTCCTTGGAAATAGTGTTGCCGGGAGCACAATTTTCCAAATGCTAAGGTTAATAATAAAGTCCATGAATAACATGATTATGTTTTCCCCATATTTGCTCAAGTTTTTTCTTGAAAAGCTCAAAATGGCAATTGGATAATGTTAGGGTGATTATGAGAATAATCTTTTAATATTGCTTCATAATTTTAATGTGTTAGTTGCTTGACCTCTTTGATTTTTCTTTTACAGCTTATACGACTTGATAGTCTTAGTGCCTACTGGAATGTAAACTGCAGCATGTCTTACCAGGGATCGAAGGAACAGATCTTGGTAATTTCAGTTTATGCCTGAAGAGCTCACTACACTCCCTAAACTTTTTTTAACATAAGAAGTGCTGAAGGAGAACAGGATATAGTCTTTTGTTTAAGTTGTATTTAACTATATCAGAATTGTGAAACACAGTTTTTGGAATCCACTCTTTTTTTTTAAATTTTTATTTAAAATAAATAAACTTCAAAAAATAAACTGGTATTTTTGAAGATCTTTGTGAAACCATTCACTACACAGTGAAATAATAACCTATACTATTACATTAAAACTGCATTTCCGGTTTTTTACACTCACATTTTGATGGCATTCTGGTTACATTGTGGTGTTTCACATCAGAACGATTACTTGAAGAGTGTTGTAAGGAAAGATGATACCTTTCAGAGCTAAAGAACATCTTCTTAGCACTTTTTTTTAATTGAAGTGTAGTTGACCTTAGCAAATGTTGTAAGCATTTGTGATGATGATTTCCTGAACAGTGAAAGGTCAATTCAAAACTTCAGTGTGCTAAGTTAGTCTTAGTCATTTTTATTTACTAAGAGGGAAAAGGAAGAACAGTTGAATTTTCTGAACTTGAATTAATTACAAGATTCTCTTATTTCTCAGAAAGATATTGTAGCAAATAATTTGCGTTTGTCTAGAAAGTGTTTAAGATCTCAATTCATGGATGTTTAGTTTTTTGTTTTTAAAAAAAATTTTTTTTTAATGTTTATTTTTGAGAGAGAGAGAGAGACAGAGCGTGAATGGGGGAGGGGCAGAGAGAGAGGGAGACAGAATCAGAAGCAGGCTCCAGGCTCTGAGCTGTCAGCACAGAGCCCGATGCTGCTCCGGAACCCATGAACCGTGAGATCATGACCTGAGCCCAAGTCTGACGCTTAACCAACTGGGCCATCCAGGCACCTCCCTGTGTACCACTCCCCCCCAGTTGTTGTTTCTTTTTTAGTCAGAGGGGAACATAATACTATAACATTTTAAAATATTTAGAATTTTATTTTATTTTATTTTATTTTTTCATTGATTTAATGCTAATTTATTTTTGAGAGAGAGAGGCAGATCGTGAGTGGGGGAGGGGCAGAGAAAGAGGGAGACACAGAATCCAAAGCAGGCTGTCAGCACAGAGCCTGATGCGGGGCTGGAACCCATGAATTGCCAGATCATGACTTGAGCTGAAATCAGATGCTTCAGCGACTGAGCCTCCCAGGCGACCTAGAAACTTAGAATTTAAAAAAATTATCTACTTTTATATTTTTTTTCAAGAAATATACCCATAAATAATGCTCGGTGTGCTTTTCTTGTGGACTACTAATTAAAAAGAGGAAAATAAAGATACTGATTTAAGAACAACATTTCCCCCCCATGTGTAGATGAGTATGTGTGTATTTCTTTTCATTCTCATCCTCAAATTTTTGTTTAGGATCAGCTGAAAAGTGGAATTCTTACAAGTAGCAATATACCTGCAAATCATCAATATAGTAAGTAATGGTAAAAGTTTTATTTCATGTTATAGAAAGCGTAGATTTAAATACTCTGCCATAATATACTTTTTGTGATAAAGTTACTTTGACAAGACAAAAGTATTGGTTTTATATTTTAGTTTTATAATATAGCCTATTTGGATTATACCTAAGTGTTTAGGAATAGGTTATGACATATACATACCACGGGAGTGTAAGAGAGAGGAGGGAAGTACCTCTGTAGTTCATTCCCAATGACTAAACACCCTTGACCTCCCTGTTTTCTTTTTACCTTGTTATCACGTTTGTTTGGGGCTTTAGGTTTTCTTTGTTTAATAACTCAGTTTCTGAGATTTTGGTATTCAGGTCAACCTTACCATGTCACTGTTGCAGTGTTATGACAAACCAACGATTCTAGAGTTATTTATTTATTTGTTTGTTTATTTTGAGAGCAAGAGACAGAGACAGTGTGTGTGTGAGCACGGGAGGGACAGAAAGAGAGAGAGCGAGAGCGGGAGAGAGAGAGAGAGAGAGAGAGAGAGAGAGAGAGAGAGAGAGAGAATCTCAAGCAGGCTCTGCACTGTCAGTACAGAGCCCAACATGGGGCTTGATCCTATGAACTGTGAGGTCATGACCTGAGCCAAAACTAAGAGTCAGACACTTAACCTGCTGAGTCCTCCAGGTGCCCCCATAGAGATTTTCTAACTGGGCTTTTCTAATTCTTGGCACCCTCACCTTTACTTATTTTTCAATAGCCCTGTAACAAATGAGCCTGTTTATTTATGCTGTTTTCTCCATTTTAGTTTCATTCTAAAGAGGCTTTTGTTTTGTTTTAAATTTAGTACACCCCTTTGTGTTTGTCCTGAGCTTTCATGCTCCTCTTCTTGCATATTCTATATTACTGTGGTTTACTCTCGTTTTCTTCATATTTTATATCTGACTGCCATGATGTAAGAGTTGGCACTTTCTCTTTATGTTCATAGACCTCTCCATTTAATGATGATGATGTTTTCAGATGAAAGTGTTTAGTTTCATACGTGAAACAACTATTTCAGAGAAATCTACAACCTCATTTATAAGTGGTATCCTCCACTTGTAAATAACCTTTAAATAAGTTAAAAATTTTATACAATCTTATGCAATTGTAAATGCTGTACGATATCACAATTTATCTAAGTTCGATACTGTTCACAGTTAAATATATTACTTTGCCCTGTCATCTTCCCTAATATGCCTTTTCATGCTGGTTCTTAACTTCAGGAATGTTTTCTTTATTTGATTCTAAGATTGTATATGTAATGATAATTTTGAAAATTGTAAAGTGGTAAGCAATTTTTTTCTTGGTAATATGAATTTCATTCATGATTCTCTTCTAAATTCTACCAGTGATTAAATAAGACAAATAATCAAATTTTGTTTCCTACCTTGTATAATATTTTTAATGAATAATAAAATCATTGAATGTCTCGTAGTAAGGAAGAGAAGCCTAATTTTATATAGCCAGAATAACCAAGAGTAGATGGTCTACTATTTTGTGCATTTTTACTTAGAAGCATAGGAGTACAATTTCCTCCTTAGAGATCCCCGTTTAACTTATAGTCGATGTTATGCAGATAAGTAGATGCTTAAATATTTTTTGGTAGTGTTTTTTGTTACATTTTTTACATATTTTAGTCATTTTTCTGTACTTTCAGAATAGTGTTTTCATAATTATTTATAGTTGTTCATTTGTAAGGGCTTATAAACATATCTTATGTCTTCCCATGTGATGAAAGTTTTCCAGCCAATATCAGCTTCTGCAAAGCTCTACATGAATCCTTATGCAGAAACAGAGCTGAAAACTCCCAAACTTGACGGGAACATAGAAGTACAGAATATTGCCGTTGAATTGACCAAACCTCAGGTAAGATTCAGGTGGACATTTCTAGCTTTGATCAGCTTTGAATCTCAACTTCATTTGTCCTTTGTGATTATTCCTTCTCTGATGCTCCTCTCCAATGCTCTGGTGGTTCTTTTATATATTTACACGTGTGTGTGTGTGTGTGTGTGTGTGTGTGTGTGTATTTTTTTTTAAGAAAATAAATATAAAATTAAAAAAAATATTTGCTTCATTTTATGTGATCTTTTCCTTCTTGGTAGAGTATCTTACCAAGTTATAGAAAATGACATTATTCCTATTTAATTCTCAATTGTTGATGGAAGATTTTAATGTGTTTTTTTCTTCCTCAAATTTTAATAGACCTATTCGTATTAAATATTGTCTACTTAATTTTTAGAATAGCTTATGTTGGCAGCTTTTTCTTCCATCATTTGTTTCTCATTTGGTTACATGCACGGGGAGTTTGGGTAGCAGACCTGGAGAACTGAAAATGAAGGGAGGACCAGGGATTTATTTAGCTAAATGACTTTTAGCTCAGTGCAGTCCAATAAGAATGTACAGTAGTCCCCCCTTCTCCACGGTTTCCTTCTCCTTGGTTTTGCTTACACGGGTCAACTGTGGTCTCCAAGCGGATGACCTTTCTTCTGATGTATCATCAGAAGGTCGCTAGTGGCCCAGTACTATGTCACAGTGCCTGTATCATTCACCTCACTTTGTATCATCATTAGGCATTTTATCATAAGAGGAAGAGTGCAGAACAATAGGATATTTTGAGAGAGAAACACACACCACATTCACTTAACTTTTATCGCAGCATCTTGTTATAATTATTCTCTTCTGTTATTATTGTTGTTAATCTCTTGTTGTGCCTAATTTATAAATTAAACTTTATTAGAAGTATATGTGTAAAGGAAAAGCATAGCATATGTAAGGTTCAGTACTATCCATGGTTTCAGGCATCTGCTTGGAGTCTTAGAACATGTTTCCTGTGGATAAGGAGGGGATTGGGATTACTGTCATTCGGGTTGTATATGTAATTTAAAATTTAATTTAAAATTTTAATGTATTTTAAAATTAGTTTTGGGGCGCCTGGGTGACGCAGTCGGTTGAGCCTCCGACTTCAGCCAGGTCACGATCTCGCGGTCCGTGAGTTCGAGCCCCACGTCAGGCTCTGGGCTGATGGCTCAGAGCCTGGAGCCTGTTTCCGATTCTGTGTCTCCCTCTCTCTCTGCCCCTCCTCCGTTCATGCTCTGTCTCTCTCTGTCCCAAAAATAAATAAACGTTGAAAAAAAAAATTAAAAAAATAAATAAATAAAATAAAATAAAATTAGTTTAAAATTTTCTAGTTGTTATATTAGCAAAGTAAAAAGAAAAGATGAAATTAGTAAAATTAGTAACATTCCATTTAAGCTAGCATACCTGAAATATTATCATTTCTGCATGTAATCAGTATAAAACATTAAGATATTTTTCATCCTTTTGTTTTTCCTAAGTCTTTGAAATCTAGGGTGTATTTTAAACTTACAATACATGTAAGTTCAGACTATGCATACTGTAAGTGGTGAATAATCATGTGGTAACCATTTGGTAAAAATGTGTTAAGAAAAACAGAAGAAATAGCTAGATTTGCCCCTTTCTTTATCTTATCTACAGTCATGTTGTGTGTGTGTGTGTTTCCCTTCATTTGAATTGCTTACCTGGTACTTGCAGAGTTGTATTGGTGATAAGATGGACAATTAAATACGTTTATCTTGCCTTAGTTATATAATAATTTTCTGGAGCCATTTTCAAATCAGCTCATAGATAGTCAATGCTGAAATGATGGTCCAGAGGAAAATATGTAGTTTTAGGAACAATCATGTTCCAGGTCACTAGTTATAGATAGTGTGTTTGGTTGTTTCTGAGATGTGCCTTTATCTTACACTTTAGCATATTTGAAAATAGGATGTATTATTATTATTATTGTTGATGGTATGACAGTTTTAATTGGCAGCATTGTTTTTTTTTTCTTTTTATAGTGGAACTTAAAAATTACGTTACAACTTACAATTGATGGTGTCTTAAATTTGATGAAATATATATATTTTATATATATATAATATATATATGTATATGTGTGTGTATGTATATATATGTATATACATATATATGTACATATATATACACACACATATATATATAGCATATATTTTAAAGTTTATCTTGAGAGAGAGCATGAGCAGGGGAGGGGCAGAGAGAGAGGGAGAGAGAGAGGATCCCAAGCAGGCTCCATGCTGTCAGCGTGTAGCTGGTTCAGTGACTGGAACCCATGAAATGTAATATCATGATCTGAGCCAAAATCAAGAGTCGGACGCTTAACCGACTGAGCCACCCAGGTGCCCCAATTTGATGAAATATATTAACAAGCAACCATGATTGTCATTATTTCAAGGAAGTTGGAGTCTTGTGAGACTGAAAATATAATAAAATATGGTGTTTATCCATGTGTGAAATGTAATAATTATAACTGTATTTTTGTTTTAATAGTACTTAAGTATGATTGACCTTTTGGAGTCATTGGATTATATGGCTAGAAATGCCCCTTACAGAAAATACAAGCCTTATTTACCACTTCATACCAATGGTCGACAATGGTAAGTTAGAATTTTTTTTTTTTGAGAAATATATAATAGAGTTAGGAACTCTCAGATTTAAGAGACCTTTAAAGCCATGTGATGAAACCACTTTTTTTCTTTATTAGACATGAAAAGGATATCTTTTGTATTATGTCTTTGTTAATTTTTCGTAAACACATTCTCTTATACTCTTGCTTTTAGAATATTACTGCATTTTCCACTTAGCATTAAGACTTTAATCATTTTTTGGTCTTACTGTCCATGGGCTCAATGTTATAACCATATTGAGATAGTATTCATTTTGCATAACATGTCATTTTGTGTCTTTATGACTTTGCTTTGACATACCCTCTTATTGGAGTTGTTTGCTCATTTTGTAATCTGTTTATATCAGAGAATTGTACTGGACAATTGAAATGTTATTGCTGAGCTCTTATAGGGGAATGGTTAATAAGAACACAAAAATGTAACACTGTAGATCCAAAAGTCAAAGCCATTTTCCTGCTTTTTTTCTTAAACCTTTGTATTCAAATGTACATTAAAATTTGATTTGCAGGTGGAAATATGCAATTGATTCTGTTCTTGAAGTTCATATAAGAAGGTATACACAGATGTGGTCATGGAGTAACATAAAAAAACACAGGCAGTTGCTCAAGAGTTATAAAAGTGCCTACAAAAGTAAGCTAACCCAGACTAAAGTCCCAGAAGAAATACAGAAACAAATTCAGGTATATTTTGCATATATTAGTGAAAGCTATTACTTGTTAAATCATCCTTCAGTGTTAATTTTTCTAAATTATAAATATAAAATATAATTTTAGGAAGAATAGGACTGATCTTTTTTTGAAAAAATGCAGAGTTTTTTTTTCAGTTTTTTCTTCTTTAAACAAATCTTTCTTTTCCATCCTAATGTCAGATAAAATGTGGTTACTAGAAACTATTGGGAGAAATTGCTTGTTTTTTTATAATAATGTTTAGAAAATTAGTAGCAGAGCTGTTCAAATATATATTTATTATTAGCTAGATATATGTTATTAGTTTTGTTACTGGCTTTTTTTAGGAGCTCAAAATATTATTTATAAAAAAAAAATAGCTCTTATTCCTTAAAATAGGAATCCCTTTGGAAAAATAGAGAAACACGACTCTGAGTATATAAGTTGCTTAATATCATCTGGTCTTGATTATATGACTACTTCTGCCACAAATTCATAATGTAAAGAATTAATTGAATTCCCATTATTCTGAAATACATGAGAATCATTAATATTATATATTAGAAAAAGCATCAAGTTTCTCAGCATCTAAGGTCTGATGTTCTCATGTATAAAATGGAAACAGGATCTGTCTTACAGAGTTCTGAGAATTGCATGAAATAGCACATAGAATACCTAATACACAGGTCACCAATACATATTAGATTCTTACATACTTTTATTTAAATTCCCCAAGTCATTTTCTACTTTAGCTTCTTGTGGATTTACAGAATTTTGCATTCTTAAATTTTGTGTTTTATAGTACAATCGTTATAAAATACTATAGACTAGAGTGAGTCAGAAGTAAGAACCATAAGGATAATACCTAAAAAAAGCCTCTCTCCTAAATATTCTGTATCTATAATGATCTTATTAAAATTCTTACATTTATATTGTATTTTTTGAGGGTTTGCTTTCTTGGAAAACTTACTTCCCTTATTGCAAAATCTATAAGTAGAATAGTCAAGTGTACACGCAAATTTATACTTACACTTACATGAGATCACAATTACTGTTTATTCATGGACTGGATAAGCCTAGAAATCTTAGAATAAAAATTTTTTTAATCTAATGCCATTTTTCTTGTTTACAAGTGTCTCTTTGTATTTTATAGGATTTGGAGAAGACTCTAGATGTTTTTAACATAATTTTAGCAAGGCAACAAGCACAAGTTGAGGTAATCATTTTTATTTGCTCATTTTATGTTTTAAACATGTTAATATTACTCCTTTAAACTTAAGATCAGGAAGTCTTAAGTTTCAGGGGATTTATTCAAGTATAAAGGTTGAGTTTTCATGCCTTCATTTAGTCTCAGGAGAAAAAATTGGAACATTGGAAAGAACACATTAACATGAAAGGGCAAAAAGTGTTAATTTAAAAAAAATTTTTTTTAATGTTTTTATTTTTTTTTTGAGAGAGAGACAGAGCACAAGTGGGGGAGGTGCAGGGAGAGTGAGAGAGACACAGAATCCAACGCAGGCTCCAGGCTCTGAGCTGTCAGCACGGAGCCTGACATGGGGCTCGAACTCACAGTGAGATCATGGCCTGAGCCAAAGTTGGACACCTAACTGACTGAGCTGCCCAGGTGCCCCCAAATTTTAATTTTATGACAAAAAATTTGAAACTCCCCAAGAGAAAGTAAATAAAAGTTGTCTGTAATCCTAGCAACATAGAATGCTGCTGTTAACATTTTGACACACAGTCTTGCAGTTTTTCTCCCATGCCTAAGTGCTGACTTAAGTTTGCTCTTTATCCCCCGTCCCTTCACTTTGTCTTTGCCTTGTTTCCTTTTCCCTCCCTCCCTTACTTCTTCTTTCCCTTCCTCCTTCTCCCCTTCTCTTACTTCTTTTCTTTTTTACCATATTTGGAATCAGTCTGTTTATATTTCACAATTCATGCTGACTTATCCCACTTGGCATATCCTACCAATAATGGCATGTCTCCCTTGTTCCATGTCAATCCTATTCTGTAACATGACATTTTTGATAATTAAAAAAAAATAAATTGCAAGTACAATACAACTCGGTGTAGGAAAGTTAGGAAATAAAGATACACAAAGAAATAAAATAGAAACAGCTATTATCTCACACTGAATATACCTACAGTTGATAATGTTTTGTATATTTTTTAGTCTTTTTGATATTTATAGATCTCTGTACACATACTCATATTCAAAAAAATTTTTTTTATGTTTATTTTTGAGAGAGAGAGAGAGAGAGAGAGAGAGAGAGACAGAGTGTGATTGGGGGAGGGGCAGAGAGAGACACACACACGCAGAATCTGAAGCAGGCTCCAGGCTCTGAGCTGTCAGCACAGAGCCCAATGTAGGGCTTGAACCCACAAGCCCACAAGCCATGAGATCATGACCTGGGCCGAAGTTGGACGCTTAACTGACTGAGTCGCCCTGGTGCCCCACATTTTTAAATGGGATTAAAGCACACACCTATTCATTCATTTACTTAGTAAGTACTCATTGAGTGCCTATTTTACTAGCATTATGGTTAAGAGTGTGGACTCTGGAGTCAGATGGTCTGGATTCTAATCCCAGCTTTGCCTACTTGTATGATCTTGGGCTAGCTCTTTAATCTCTCAGTGCCTCAGTTTCCTGATTTGTAAAATAGGATTAATTCATAGTATGTACATCACAGGGTTACTTTGAGGAGTACATGATAATCCATGTAAAGCACTTAGACTACTGAATGCTTGGCACATAGTAATGAGTAAATAAGTGATTTTTTTTTCATCATCATCATCATCATCATCTGTATTAGCGTACAGAAATTAACAGAACAAAAATCCCTTACTTACATTCTAGTAGAAAGAAAGATAATAAAAACATAAATAAAAATAAAGTTGAAGGGCATACAGAAAAGGAATATATCACTGGGGCCAGGCAGTAATGATGATGAGGGTTGCAATTTTAAATAGGGTGGTCACGGAAAGCCTCACTAAGAAGGAAACATTTAAGCAAACACCTGAAGAATGTGAGGGAATCAACCAGAATCCTTTCTGAGGGAAAAGTGTACCAGGCAGAAAGAATATAGCAAGCTGAGAAGTTTTGAGGTGACTATCTGGTTCACTCACGGAACTAACTGAGTGGTGAGAGAGCGGAGAGTGGTCGTTAGCAAGGTCAGAGTGGAACATAGTGGAGGAGTAGGAGAGGTGCTTATGGGAGTTGGAGAGGGTGCCAGATTGTTAGGGTCTTATAAGTAATTGTGTGAATTTGGCCTTTACTCTGAATTAGGGAGACATTTTGAGAAGGGAATGATACAGTCTAACTTATGTTTTAAAACTCACTCAGTCTGCTCTTTTGTGTAAAAAGGAGAACAAGGGTGAAAATAGGGAGATCATTTAGGATGCTATTGAAATATTTGAGGTGAGAGATAATGGTCGAGAGTGGTTGCAATGGAGGTGATGAGAAAAGGTCAGATTCTGGATAGAATTTGAACATAGAGCTAATATTTCCCAACTGATTAGATACGGGTTATAACAGAGAAATTGGAGATGACTTTAGAGATTTTGGCCTGTCGCAGTTGGAAAGATGGAGTTTCCATGAAATGAGATCGGGAAGTCTGGATAGAATAAGCTTGGGTGAGGTGGGAGAGATCAAGAATTCGGTTTGGGACCTATTAAGTTTAGCTATCTTTTAAATAAAGTTGTGGATGTATGGAGTAGACAGTTGGATACATAAATTTATAGTTGAGAAGAGAAATCTGTGCTAGGTATATACATTTCGGAGTTGTCAGTACATAGATGGTATTTAAAGCCATGACATCAGATGAGATCACCTCAGAAATTAGAGTAGCTAGGGGAGTACTCCAAAGATCCAAAGCATTCTATTTTTATAGGTCAGAGAGATGAGAATCAACAAAGTTGATCATGGAGGAGTTGCCAGGGATGTAGTTGGGAAGCTCTGTGAATAATATCCTCAAAGTCAAGTGAAGAAAGAATTGCAAGCAAGAGGGAGTGATCATATGTGACAGATGCATCTGATTGGTCAACTGAGCTGAGGACTGAGAATTGACCATTAGATTTACCAAAATATGAGATGTTTCAGCCATTATTTACTCAAATAATTTTTTATCACATTCCTTTCTTTTTTCTGTCTAGGACTCCCAGTTTTATACACACACACACACACACACAGCCGACCCTTGAACAATACAGGAGTTAGGGACCCCCTACACTGTAAAAAATCCGCATTAACTTTAGACTCCCCCAAAAGGTAACCACTAATAGTCTGCTGTTGACCAGAAGCCTTACTGATAACATCAACAGTTGGTTAACACATATTTTTTATGTTATATGTATTCTGTACTGTACTCTCAAAGTAAGCTAGGGAAAAGAAAATGTTCTTAAGAAAATCATAAGGAAAATATATTTATGGCACTGTACATATATAGAAAAAAATCTAATAGAAAAAAATCTATGTATAAGTGAAGCTGTGTAATTCAAACCTGTGTTGAAATAATTTTTGGTCTAGATTTCTTCTTTCCTTCTTGGATTCAAGTTTTATACACATACACACAAATATGTACATATATACACGTATACATATATATGAGACCTTTTGATACGCCACAAATCTCTGAGGCTTTGTTCATTTTTTTAATCAATCTTTGAACTCTCTGTTCTTTGAATTGGATTATTTCTGTTGATATGTCTTCAAGATTATATTTTTCTCTATCATCCCCATTTTACTGTTGAGCCCATCCTAGGAGTTTTTCCTTCAAATAATATGTTTTTCAGGTCTAAAACTCATATTGAGTTCCTTTTTATAGTTCCCATTTCTCTACTGAAAATTCTAATCTTTTTAGTCATTTCAAGTGTCTTTCCTTTCATATCATCTAGCAGAAACTATAGTGGTTCTCTGCTGGTTTCAGCATTGAGGTTATCTGACCATTGGATACATACCCAGCACCTGGGTGGCTCAGTTACTGAAGTGTCCAACTCTTGCTTTTGGCTCAGGTCATGATCTCAATGCCATGAGATTGAGCCCTGTGTCAGGCTCCATGCTGGGTATGTCATTGGTTTGGGTCCATGTTGTACATGCATAGTAGAGGAGTTAGTTGGAGACTTGGGCAGGTCTCTGTATCTTTGCCCCTTTTGTTTAGGTCACTTTCATACACGGGGAGCTTGGGTTAGACTGAAATTTGTGCAGGTTCATACACAGAATTAAGAGATAATCCATTCCCTGGCTCTTCTGCCCCTGGTATTTCCCTCATCTTCTCTGGTTTTCATGGACTTCATTTTCTCATTCCTTGGCCAGCCTATGGAGTTTCAGGGGTTTAGCTACCTGTGCCTCTTCAGTGCTCCATGGCTGAGGCCCTTTCTCAGGGTACAGCCATGTGAAGTAGTTTTCTGTGGCTTAAAGCCGGTGACTTAAAGGCATGCACAATTATCTCAGAGTTTCTGTGAGTCAGAAGTTCAGGTATAGCTTGTTACCTGAGATCTCTGCTTATGGTCTCAAAATATTTCCATGAAGATGTTGGCTGAAACTGGTTTCATCTGGGGTGTCACTGATGACGGATCTGCTTTTGTTGGCAGATTTTAGTTCCTTGTGCCTGTGGGATGTAGGACTCCAATTTCTTGTTGGCTGTTGGGTAGAGGCTGCTCCTTAGCTCATCATTTCATTTCATTTCCTTGCCATATGGGCCTCTTAACATGGCCCACAAGATGGCAGCTTGCTTTTCCTTTTTTTCTTTTTAATTTTTTAAATGTTTATTTATTATTTTTGAGAGAGAGACAGAGTGTGAGCAGGGGAGGGGCAGAGAGAGAGAGGGAGACCCAGAATCTGAAGCAGGCTCCAGGCTCTGAGTTATCAGCACAGAGCCTGACGTGGGGCTCCAACCCACAAACCACAAAATCATGACCTGAGCTGAAGTTGGATGCCTGACCGACTGAGCCACCCAGGTGCCCCGTCAGCTTGCTTTTTCAAAAGGAGAGAGAGAGATTCCAGCAAGAAAGCTGGTACAGTTTCATGCACATAGTCACATACATCTTGTCACCTTTGTCATATTCTGTTGGTTAGAAACAGGTCATAGGTCATGTCTGCACTAAAGGGAAGGGGACTGCCCAAAGGCAAGAACATCCTCGGGAGGGAAAAGTTAAGTGGGGAAAGAGGGTAGGCACAACATGTGAGGGAAAATGCAAAAACAACAGCAACAACAAAACATG